CCCTGGTCAGGATCCCGGGCAAAGACCACAGCCACAGGGGTCTTAACTGTGGTGTTGTCAAAGACAGCCACGGTACAGTGGCTGGGGAAGAACCTTGGGGCATTGTCGTTCACATCCTCAATGTGGAGAGTCACGTCTGCCTGGCATGATTGGCCCCCTCCATCTGTTGCCTTAGCAACCAGGTTGTATATGTCCTTCCTTTCCCGGTCCAGGGCTGTGAGTGTGGTAAGCTCCCCTGCCAGGAGAAATGACAGAGGCTGAACTTTCTCTAGAGGACACTTGTGCTCTCTGGAGAGCTATAGTGACAGTCCTAGCAACAGGTTCCATCACAGCTGAGAAAGGTTGCTCTATGTACACACTGTCAGGGAAGACTCCCTAGCACCTACCTACCTTTCTAATTCTCCCACAGCACTCCACGACCATCACCACCAATCTAAAGGTCACCATCAATAAGATACAGATTTTTGAAGGTCAATTAAGCAACTTATACCATAGAAAATGTTCTAAAAAATTTGGCCCAAAATTTCATTTGTGCTTTAGTTCCAGCACTCTAGAAACAGAACAACAGGGCTATGCAGAGAAACCCTGTCTGGAGAAACAAAAACATAATTTCACTTGTAGGGATGAATGTATATATATTCAATTATATACATACATATCTAGTCCACAGAATAATTAACCCAGTGATAAAAATATATGATGCATATGTGGGTGTGGTGGCACATGCCTTTAATCCCAGAGACAGGCAGATCTCTGTGAGTTAGAGGCCAGACTGATCTACATAGTGAGTTCCGGGACAGTCTGACTTTTTGTCTCAAAAAACAATGTGTAAAGATGTTCTCTGAGGTATTGTTTATAATAGTGGCATATTTAAATCACCCTATATGCCTTTCAAATAGAAATTGACTAATATGTTATGCTTTAGCCATATAGTAAAGTAATATCAGATGGTTAGTTTTAATTCTCAGCTTGACACAACCTGGAATCACCTGAGACTCTCAATGAGGGGCTGTCCATACAAGGTTTACCTATGGGCATGTCTTGGGGGATTGTCTTAAGTTAACTGATATGGTAAGACACAGCCTACTGTGGGAGGCACCATTCCCTAGGCAGGGGATCCTGAGCTATGTAAGAGAGTAAGGAAAGCCAGCTGAGCACAAGTGAGCATGCATGCATCCATTTCTCTTTGCTCCTGACTGTAGATGTGCTGTGACTAGCTATTTGAAGTGTTTGCCTTGACATCCCACAATGGTGGACTGTAATATGGAATTGAGCTGAAATAATAAACCTTTCCTCCCCTTAAGTTTCTTTGTGTTGGGGTATTTTATCACAGCAACAGAAATGAAACAAAGATGTATTATATCATCAGGAATGACTAAAGACAATTTTACATTCTTCCTTGCGAACACCTGCAAGCTATCACTAAGGGGAGAACAGCAAATGATACATCAGAGGAACAATTACAGAGAGGTTTGGTAGGTGTATGGGAAGGTAGGCTGGTTGAATGCACACGGAGTGGGTTGGTGAGGGCTTATTGTGTAGCTTTTCTGGCTCCTGCAGGATGCCTGCCATGCTTTTCAATTTGTAACTGAGCATGCATCATTTTTATATTCTGAAAAAACGCCCAGTTGGTTTTTCTTTTAAGTCCTCATGGAGAGTGCTGGAGCTGAGCAAACAGCAGCAGAAGACAAGCTTCCCAAAT